CGATATTTGCTATTTTTTGGTGAAATGATCCGTAAATTGATTTTTCCTTTTATGTCAATTTTTATATTTTTCATATTTGCTATAAAACAGACTTATTATCAGATTGTTTTCATGGCATTACCCCATAGTATCCTATGGGCACTCATGGCATACTATGTGTATCCAATAATTATCTGGCAGTTAGTCCACTATTTTATTATAACCTATTATTTGATACTAAAATTTAAAACAATTAATAACACTGTAATTTATTTGTGCAATAAAAAGCATACAACCCAGATAAGGCACATTAACAAGTTTCTTGTTGATTTTCATGAATTAATTGTTGAGATTAATGACTATAACTGTATTTATTGGTCGAAATTTCTGTCCATATACTGGGTGTGCATTAGTTCAGTGATCAGTTCTATTGTATATCTGTGTGTATTTGGTTTGACATCCCTTTCCCTTCGGATCGCACTGTCGGTGATTGGCCTCCAATTCATGTCTACATTACTATATGTTATACACTATTCATCAATACTTAATAAACAGTCGGACAAAGCTTTTGGTTATTTAAATTCACTGTTTGTTAGATATAAAACACAAATCAATACTAAACTTAAGGTAAATTAGTTTTATTAAATAATTAAAAAATGTTGATTAATTATTTTTCTTTATTTCCTTAATTTAATAGTTATTGTTATTAATTGAGAGATTGGGTAAAAGAGATGTTGGCTTTTATTGTTGGAAATTCTTTCTCATCAATAGATTACGCGGTTATGAAGTGAGTGTTTATTGCAATAAATATATTCTAATTAATTATATTAATACTTATTATTAACATTTTATTATATTTTATAGATGATTTGCATAATTGGTATTTTGTTTATCAAACTTACAGAAATGTCTAAATAAATAATTTGTGTATGATTAATGATTTAAATAATTATAATACACTTGATTGATGATATTTCATAATGTATATTGCAACGTTTATAACAGTGATCACGCAAAGCCGGTTTGTACAATAGTGTCTATGAATGCAAACTAATTTTATAATTCTGTCTAAAATAATAATATATCATGCTACATTGTATTCAAATCTACTAATAGATTTACCATCCCATAAAGGTAACAACACGGAATTGCATGTTATTCTTATGGTTATTCTCTAACATGATTAATTTTAATATAACTATGTAAATCTGATTAGATAATTAATTGGTAATAATTAAAAACTCATTATAAAACAATTAAAAAATATAACTACATTATTATGTATTAATGTTTGCTTAATTGTAATATTATATGAAATACCGAGAATTTGTAATTAACTAAATGATCAAACAAATTGTTAATCACTTGTATAGTACATATACTTTAGCACATTTACATAATATGTTTAGACCATTTTCTTTAAAGTATAAAATGTAATAAATTGGTTAATTGTATAATTAATTTAAATAAAATACTTCTTTAAAAATAAATTATTATAATAATGTTTGTACCTTATATAATTATAAATGCTATCATATTAGCAAGCTCAATCAGCACAATATCAGCGATAGGATCAATTAAATGTCCGGCACCGGAATTATTGCAGCCGTGTATTTGTTATACATATCATAATAAAAATATAAGTTATATTCAGTGGAAGTGCACCGGAATGGAAATAACTGACCTGAAACAAGTAATGCACAAATTGAGCAAGCAACTAACCGCTGGCGATAAAATTATTTATAAATTACGATTGGCCAATACAAGTGTTACGGCAATACATGCGAACACATTCGCTGACATCAGGTTTCAGATTTTGGAAATGGACGACAACCCCGTTATGACACATATTGATAGCCAGGCTTTTATGGATCAACAATTGCAACGTATCAAGGTGAATAACACGAAACACCTTGTTCATAAATCTGCCGCTAACCCAAACGGCACAGATATATTTGCCATAATAAATGGACAGGGTGCAATTAAATCTGTATATCTGCGCGACATTAATTTAGAAACGATTCCCCCGAATGCGTTTGATAAAATGTCAAATTTAACGTACCTATACCTTGGTGGAAAATCATTAAAATCAATTGGCATCAGGGCATTTTACGCAATGAAAGGCCTTAGAAGGCTGCTTATCGACGACACTTCCATAACACATATACCGGCAAATGTATTGGTGTTTACCACCCCTAATACCGCTTTCCCTCCACTTTCTATTCGCATTTACCCTGGTATAACTGATCATTTATTTGATAAGGATTCGCTTGCTAATTTTAATGTTTCTGTTAGCTTAATGTTTTCTTTCGCAGCCAGATTAAGTGAATATGATGTGAACCAATTCAATAATTATACACTTATAGCTACCTACATCGATCAAAATAGTTTTAAGGTGTTTTTCAATTCAAATAAGAATAATATGTTATCACTATCTCATGGTAAAATTGATTGCAATGATACACGTAATTTGTGGCTAAAAAGTGAATTATATATTAGACACAGACAACTTATGGTAGGCAAGAGTTGCGGTAAATACTGTTACTCGTGGTCATACACTAAATGTGATGTTGATAATTAATTGTAACTAAAACTATAAAATTATAAATTTACTCAAAATACAATTTATTATTTAATAAATCATTAATTATTAATATATATTAATATACTATTAATTTATATATAACTACAGTATTTAAATGTTGATTTATATTGATGTTATTTATTTGTATATTTTAAATAATTTATATATAAATCAATTTATATAAATTAATTTATAAATCAAAATTGTCAAATTTAATCAAGATTATATTAAAAATAATAATTACGCCAAAATCCATCACAATTTTTAGCATAAGGATTATCTAACAAATGGCCCAATGTTTTGGGATTTAATTCAAATATATTCACGCGATTATTATCAAGAAATTGAGGCCATTTATCATCAGGGTTTCTGTTTAAGTGCAATAATATTAGGCATATCTATTAATTCTTAAACAATAAATAAAATAAAATAACTTTTTTATACATACCCATATTTTGCAAACCGTGTCCACATTTTCATAACCGCACGACTAAGCGCCTGATCTTCGGGTGTAAATCCCGGTGTAGTCAACGGTAAACCAAACACATATGGGATATCCATACCGTGACAAATGCCCATGGTCTCCGGATCGCACTTCATAAGTTTAGCAATTACAGCATTTTCGTAGGTTAATTCATAAAAATACACATTACGGGACTCATCCCGGTTTAAGTAAAATTGTTTGGCAAACAAATAAGTCGGACACTTGTTTGTGATGTCACCGAAAAAGTTATAGAAAGCCCAGCGCAGGGCCTGTGGGTCCGATTGGTTGACATTTTGCAGGTAATAGTCTGTCCATCGCTGGACATCCAGACCCCGGTATATAGCGTTGGTTTTATTAATGTATTGTTTGAATGACTCGACGGTCATGGGGTTAGGCAGGGGTCCGACCATAAGCTCGGCCAGGTTTGAACCCTCGTCTCTCACTAACCCTGTCAGTAGATCAATATCTAATGGGTAGATATGAAAAATGTAAATTAGATTTATGAATTCATTGCATCTGGTTAAATGTAGTAAAAGTTCTACAACATTCTTAATAAAATTTTAATTAATTTCATATAAAATAAAATTTATACAATACCTGTCCTAAAGGTTTTCTCTGCAAACGCTTTTTGGGCAGAAATTGGCAAATATTCTGTTCCTAAGACCGGGAACGTCGGGAAGATTGTGGACGTCTGTAGCCTATCGGCCGGCAATTCTCGTAAACAGTGTAACCACTCCTCAGATTCACTACAATTGAAATGCTTTGCCATATCTTTGGCCGACTGTAGGGCTTCACCGGTGCTGATCGGGTCCCGGCTATTGCTGTACATTATAGCCCCGCTTTCCATAATAGCCCTCTTGAATAAGCCCTTTGTTAACGGACTGAATATCTGTGTCGATACGGACCAACTGCCGGCGCTCTCACCAAATATAGTGATCTGATCCCTATCTCCGCCAAACTGTTTAGCATTTTCTCTAACCTATTATAATGTCATTAATTCATATATTATTTTATTAATTGAACAGAAATTTTGATTAAAACAAGCGATCAATTAATACCCATTTGAGAGCCAATAACTGGTCAAAGAGTCCGACATTTCCGGGCGCGTCCTCCCGATCCCCGTATAGGAACCCAAACGGTCCTAACCTATAGTTTGTTGAGACAATCATCACATCATTTGTGGCCAAAACTTTGCCGTTATATATATCCATAAATATTGAGCCCCCGGTATAACCCCCTCCGTGTATCCAAAACATAATGGGTTTGAGCTGTGATTTGTTTGTGTTATTATTTCCCGCATTTGGTGTCCATATGTTTAATACCAAACAGTCTTCACTTATAGGCGCTTCCGGTGGTAAAGCGCTCTTGTCTTGAGTGCAAGAGTTTTTAGGTTTTGTCGCATCGATTATATCCTAAAATTAAATCAATAGAAATTAATTTTTAAAATTTACATTTTATAAATAAGTGTATTTTTACCGGTTTGGGAGTTTTGATGGGTTCAGGTTTGGCGAACCGGAGTCTCCCGACGGGTGGTTTGGCATAAGGTATACCCAAAAACTGGTCAATACTTACGTTCAACACATCTATCGTCTGACCCCTCACTACACCCGATGTTGTCTTCACATCAATACAATTACTATAAGTCAGACATAAACTAATTGTCATAAAAACAATGTTAATATAATATTTAACAAACATTTTTAAAATATTAAATCAATAATTCTTATAATGTTTTATATTAAATAAATATTTAGTGTTTGTATTGATATGTGTTTATATCGTTTATATATCGTTTTTTTTAACCAAAAAGTACTTAACTTAATTAGCTTTGCTCAATATATTATGTGATTATCAATATTAACCTTTAAATTTTTCTATTATCCATAGTTTATTTCAATTTATCTGAAGTGGTTATAATTAATCAATACAAGTACTATAAGTACAACAATGTCAATTATATTGCAAATAATGTGCCCAAGGTATGTGTGCACATAAAACAAATGCATTAAAAAATAGTGCATCTTTGTAATTATAAATAAGTTATATTATAAAGCAAATCATTTTAAAGTTATCCATTAAATTTAGTTCATTTGCACTAACAACTTGGTAATCATAAGTTGCTTGTACAGTATTCACAAGTTGAATTACAATAAATGATGATTATTATTATTATTATTATATTAATATATTAATCAATGATATTTTTATGTTTTATTATACATTTCACTATGACTAAATTGTTTTAGCATATAAAATAATTGATGTCAATTAATTAAATTATATTTAATGTCTGTAATATTTTGTATTGTAAACAAAATAATTATTTCAAATTATATTCTATTTGCCAATAATTAAAATATATTGCAGCGTAAACAAAATAATTAACTCGTTGTATTGCATGCACTAGGTATTAGTTGATTAAAACTATTTATTCATAGCATTTCGTGCAGGAAAACTGTGAATATTAAATAAAACAATAGTTTGTTCACCAGTATTATTAAAATAACCATGGCTAATTGCAAAGTATTGCGTTTAATTGTACGGCCATTGCTTTGGTTTCATCGCATTATTGGCCTAACATTTGCCGGTTTATCCATTGATAAAGACTTTAATATACAACAAAGTAACTTGGTCAAATACTATGGTTATATTTACTTGACTTTGATAACATTTATTAAGATAATCTCGATACTTTTTGTATATATAAATGCTAATTACTTTACTAATAGATTTTTTGGCGCAAACTTGCCTGATCACATTAAAATATTAATGTATGTGTTTATAAGTTTAAGAAATATTTCGTCTATATCAAATATGTACATAATTAATGTAAAATTAAATGTAAAAATTGTGCATAAATGCATTGACAAAATTGACCTTGCACAAATTTCATTCAGATTATGTTTTATTATATTGCTTTGCATGTTAATTGAATTTTCATACTTTATAATCCATGGCATTCGTACAGTAAATGTCGGTATAAATATTTACACCATAATAACTATCATATTAGACATTGGTCAATTTTTATCATTCTGCACATTGACTAGTACGATTTGGATTGTCGTAATTATTTATACGCATAAACTAAATAACATACATAAATGTTTAATTAATTTATTTCAAGGTAATTTTAATGTTAAATGATTGCTTAAAACGTCTATTTATATTAAGGTTTATATTAAAATATTTATAATACTGTATATTTCAGATTTAAATCAAAACAAGCTTGGTGAAGCAAATGACATGGCTACCGAATTGTTTAATAATAAATCATTGTATCTTGATATACACAAATCAATTAAATTGATCGATGTGGCATTTTCTTATAATTGGATCGTTAATTTAATTGCATCAATATTTTCGATAATGTTTTTCATTTATTTATTAGTATTACATGATCAATTTAAACCAATTAATGAGATTTTTAATGGTTTAATCATGAATATAACTGTCATGATTATCCAGATCATTGTTACGTTTATATTATGTGATAGTTTGAATGCAAAATGTATTAAAATTAGTGATGCGTTGAATGGCGTGAATGTGAGGGATATGTCGGACACTGAGTACAGGGAATGGCTTACGTTTACGACTGCTGTTAGAAATAGTCATACGTTTGGCTTAACTATCGGAGGATTCGCTCAAATCAATAAATCAACACTTATTTCGGTATTTCATTTATTGTATTCTGAATTATAAAATATTTTATTATTTTACAGATATTCACATTTGTATTGAATTATACGGTTATCCTATTTCAAACAACGAGACAATGACAGACAACTGTAGTTTTTTATATTTAATATTTAACTGATTAAGATTTCAATTTTTTATAAACAAAATTATTTAATTTAATAATCAATGTATTAATTTATGTATTATTAACATAACTTCTCAATCGTGTAAATGTGAGTATTTTTAGTGCAACGTACTTTATATTCAATTATTTATCATTGATTTGCATTCAGATATTTTGTTACCACACAAATTGAGTGAAATTTTTATTTTAATAAATTTCTGTTTTATGTATTTCATATTTGATTAATTATCCGATAAAATATGGACAATTATGGATAAAATATACAACAACAAATTAGTTGGAAAAAACAATAATGGTAATAAAAATATCTAGTTAAAATTTTTTTAATGAAAGTTGAACTTTTTTAGCATCGGAATTATGATTATTAATAATAACTCATTACATAATATTTTCATAATGGGTTTTAAAACATTAATTGTTCTGTAAATATTATATATTATAATTGTCATGTTGATGCTAATTATTTAAATAATATTTAATAAGTGCAGTACTTGTCAACAAAACAATTATATCAAAATGTCAACATTGTAAAATAATTAAAATATTGATAAATCATGTGACAGTTGTTACCTAATTATCTAATGTCAATGTAAATGACGTATTTTACGTAAAGTTTGCTTACCTAACTTGATAAATATTTGTCAACCAAATTAAAATAAATTAGTATTGATTGTATTAATTATATATAATTTTTTAATTATAAAATAGTTTGTCAATTATATCAAATTGGTCAATTTATAAATATTTTTAATTCACATCGATGTATTTAAAATATTGCTAAATCATAATGAATGCTAAAGTTGCTATAAGTTGCTGATGCTGTCAATTGAGGTTGAATAAATTGATAACTAAACTCCAGTTTTACCAGTTTAACAAGGTGTTTTACCTAAACTTATAATTATTTGTCAAAATAAATTAAAATAAATTATTATTAATTATATTAATTATATATAATTTTTTGATATAAAAGAGTTTATGGTGTAAACAAAATAATTAACTCGTTTTGGCACATATATAAAGTGAAGTTATTTTAGCATATAATGATAGAAGCATAGCATTTAGTTTTGCTGAACGGTATATACCAAATTTAACTACAATCAAAATAATCATGTGTATTAATAATTGCAAATTATTGTTTTTAATCATACGGCCATTGCTTTGGTTTCATCGCATTATTGGCCTAACATTTAACGGTCTATCCATTGATCGCGACTTTAATATACGACAAAATAATTTAATTAAATATTATGGCTATTTATACTTAACATTAATCACATTTCATAATTGTATGTCAATCATTTATATATTTGTAAATTTAAATTATGTCACCGGCAGATTTTTAGGCACCAATGTGCCTCACCATATTATAATATTATTCTGTATTCTTATGACCCTGGTAAATGTTTTGCAAATTTTAATTTTCTACGTTTTTAATGTGAAGCTTAATATAGAAATTGTACGTAAATGTTTTGACAAGATTGATTTAGCTCAAATATCATCTAAAATATACATTGTCATAGTGTGCTGCGTGTTAACTGAATTTGCATACATCACACTTCATGTGATACGTATAGTGAATATTGAGGCAACATTTTATATCATAGTACAGCTTATTTTTGACATTTATCAATTTGTATTATTCTGCACAATAACTGCTATATTTTTGATTATGGTGATTATTTATTGTCATAAACTAACTTGCATCAAAAATAGCTTGACAAAATTATCTAAAGGTAATTTTATTTTTAAATTATTAATTAACAAGTTACTAAAATCTAACTAAACTTTACATTAAAACCAATTGTCTAGATTGTCGTGAAACAAATGACATGGTTATACAATTGTTTAATAATAAAACTCTCTATATTGATATTTATAAATCGCTTAAATTGACCGATGTTATATTTTCTTATGTTGGGATTGTTAAGTTAATTTTGTCGATATTTTCAATCATGTTTTTCATTTATTTATTAGTATTCAATGATAGATTTAAATATATCCATGAAATTTCTAATGGTTTGATAATGAATGTAATAGTTAGGATTATCGAGATGATTGTAACCTTTATACTATGCGATAGTTTGAATGCAAAGCGTAATAAAATTAGTGATGCGTTGAATGGCGTGAATGTGAGGGATATGTCTATTGCTGAGTACAGGGAATGGCTTACGTTTACGACTGCTGTTAGAAATNCGTTGAATGGCGTGAATGTGAGGGATATGTCTATTGCTGAGTACAGGGAATGGCTTACGTTTACGACTGCTGTTAGAAATAGTCATACGTTTGGCTTAACTATCGGAGGATTCGCTCAAATCAATAAATCAACACTTATTTCGGTATTTAATTAATTGACTGTTAAATCATTAATTATTTATATTATATATATTTATAGATATTCACATTTATATTGAATTATACCGTCATCATGTTTCAAACAACAAAACCCTGAAATAATGTAATTTTGTTTATTTATTTACAATAAATTAATATTAATATTGAATCAATCATAAATCAATAACACAATTATGTTTTTATAATAAAACTTTTTTTTCAATTAATATACAACTAATTAAATATATATTTTTGAAAATAAAATAAACTTTTTAAATTTTTGTGTTCGCTGCGGACCGGCAATGGGTGTGTCTATCGATTGACTCGTGTCCACACATAACGATAACTGAATGGCAGATATGGCTAATAGAAGTGTTCACACGAACTGCATTGAATCTACGATTTTGCTTATGAAAAACGTGATCCGTATGTTGCAACATGCGATTGGCAATTTTAAAAATAATATTTAATTTAATATAATTACAAATATCAATTAATTATATGCATCGATGTGCAAATTAATATTCGTCATGCTAATT